ACATTCACCCATTTGACCTGTATTTATTACAAGCGTGATCCTATCAGTCAAATCTATATTGAAAGCCCTGGAAATGAAGCATCGATCCTCTTAACTCCCCCAGATATGAGCATAGCAAGCCCAGGACCCCTCCCGGGTCCGGCCGTGGGTGCAGGGGGCGCAGGTCCCTTAGGAGCGAGGATGGTCCTGGGGCGGGTCCTGCCAGCTCGGCAGGGCCGGCTGGATCTGCGGTGCCGGGTCCCGTTGCTTCGGGGGTCCCAGGGGCAGCGGCGGGACGAGCTGGTGCCGCTCCAGGCGCTGTCGGAGCTCTGGGATCGGTGGGGGCTCGGGCAGTCTCTGCCCCGGCTTCATCGGGGGCTCTGGCGCCGGTCCCGGCCGGGGCCGCTCTGGGGGTGGCGAGGGCGGGCGCGATTACAGCGGCAACGGGGACGGGAGGCTGGGTCCTTGGGACTGCGGGAGGAGGAGCAGGGGCGGTGTCTGCAGCCGGGGTGCCTCCCCCGGCCGACACGGGACCCTCCGGCTCCTCCATGAGGGGCGGAGACAGAGCCGGCTCCTCTCTCCAACCTACCCCCACAAAGAGGGCACGGCTGCCTCGGCCGCACCGCTCAGTTCCACTGCAGAAGGGGGAAAACAAAACCCGGGAGCTTTTCCAGCCTCTGCTTCACAGCAGGGGGGAGGAGCAGAATAAAGAGAAGCAAGTCAGTCTCGGCTGCCGACAGGAGGCAAAGGCGGGGCCTCCCCCCTTTTGACCCCTCAAGCGCAAACGTTGAAAGTCGGCATAGTGATTTTACTGATACAGGCACAGTAGTCTCTGAGGATAAATCAAACGATAGCTCGGGGGAAGGGGATGAAAAAACACTTGTAGTAAGAACAAAGACAAGGGGGAGAAGGGTACGGGAAGCTCTGTTAGAACCCAGGCCCGTGGCTAGGAGAATAAGGGCAAAAAAGGAAAAACCTGAGGTAGAAGCCCCCTTAAGGCAAGCCATGAGCACCCATGGTCCAGTTTTGATAAAAGTTCCTTTTTCTCTAGTTGAATTGCGGCAATGGAAAGCTTCAGTCAGGGCATATAGAGATAACCCAGACAGAGTGGCTAGTTATGAGCAGAGAGCAATAAAAACACAAAATCCAAATTGGTATTGTAATAGGTAATACTGAGCAAAAAGTGTAATATGCTCATCAAATCAGGGAGTTAAAGTTTACTTATGCTTGTTACAATGAGCCAGGCAAGGACTGTGCTCACAAGAGTGTTCTCTGTTATGAAGTGGGCAATTACAAATGGGAAAGTTACAGCATTGTAATAATTGTATGGTTGATTGTGTAATTGTCATGAATTTGTATGTCTTGTATTCCACGAGTTTCCACTTTGGGCATATTCATATTAGAGGAAAAAGGAGATGGTAGCAAAAGCTAAGAAGAAAGGACTCGACCCCCTCCCCCTTCTGGAGATTTCTATGAGGCAGCCTCTGAGGACTACGGTTTAACCGATTCATTGGCTGAACCTAGATGGTGAGATGGAGCCCGCGAAAGCAAGGACCAATATTGGAAAAGCCCGCGAAGCAAGGACCAATATTGAAAAAGCCCGCGAAGCAAGGACCAATATTGGAAAAGCCCGCGAAATGGACTCCAATAAGAAAATCGACAGAGACTCGAGGGGTGGAGAAAAGAGGGGGGTATAAAAGATTGACCGTTGATCTGTCACGTTGCAGACCGGTGAGGAAAAGAGTTTCCTCCGGTCACCCAGCGCGCTGTTTTGTTTATCTGCCTTTAATAAATCTCTCTCATAATTTTTAAAATTATCTTTTGTCATTTTTGACTATAACAGTATGACCTGGAAGTGATAATGGAAACATTATTAGATCCCCACAGAGAAGGAAGTGGTCAAGTGAGCTGCGCGGACTGCAATTGAGATGCTGATAACTTCTGGGCAAATTCAAGGGGAACTCAAGGATGTTGTTAGAAGATCCTATAGGAGTATCCGAAAGATTTGACCAGCTTCTAGGGCCAAATATTTACACATGGGAGGAAATGCAAGCAATTTTGAGAATATTATTTACAGTGGAAGAACGAGGCATGATTAGAACGGCAGGAATGAGACACTGGGACCAGACACACCAGCAAGGTCCAGCTGCCGATGTTAATTGGCCTCTTCAGAAACCTAACTGGGATAACCAGGATCCAGCTCATAGAGCTCACATGACTGATTTAAGGACTATTATAGTCCAGAGTATAAGGGAAGCAGTCCCTAGAGGACAGAATATAGATAAAGCCTTTAAAGAGTATCAGAATAAAGATGAATCACCTACAGACCTGCTGGAAAGATTAAGAAAAAGCTTCCAGCTTTATTCTGGCTTGGATCCAATGAATGATGTGATGGGGGGAGCTATGCTCAAAATGCAGTTTGTGCAGGGATCATGGGAGGATATTTGGAAAAAATTAGAAAAAAGTGATGACTGGCAGGCTAAAGGTTTGGATGAATTGTTAAGGGAAGCTCAGAGAGTATATGTATGTAGAGATGAGGAAAAAGAGGAAGAAAGACGAAGGAAAGAGGAGGAAGTGCAGAAGAGACAGGAGGAAATACAGGAGAAATTGCAGAGGATACAGGAAGAAATGTAGGAGAGGCAGGCAAGGATTTTGGTGGTAGCTATACGAGAAGGACAAAGGGGAGGTGGAGGTCAGAGACGAAGGATCCCTCATGGATCCAATAGATGTGAATTGTCAGGAGAATGTGATCAACCAAACCTAAATGAATTAGAGTGGTTAACGGAAATCGAAAGTTAAGATGGAGTAACCTTTCAGGTCCGGGAATCCGGACCCTTAGATAAGACTTGGTCAGCTCAGGCTTGTGAATTATATGCACTGTTGAGAGCTTTACAGCTATTAAATGAAAAGGCAGGCACTATATTTACAGATTCTAAATATGCATACGGGGTAGTTCATACTTTCGGCAAGATATGGGAGGAAAGAGGACTGATTAATACACAAGGTAAGGGACTTATTCATGAAACTCTAATTCAAGAAATTTTAAAAGCTCTCAGATAACTGGGACACCTATTATATTACCTTTTTGTTGTGAATTAGAAATTGATTTCCCAGAGCCTCCTAATCTTCTTGGAATACCTTGTGTTAAACATCCTTATTTCAGACATTATAGTTGATTGATTTGTGAATGTATAAAATATAATAAGCAGTGGCGTTGTGTCTCACTGAAGGGAAGCCCACATTACCCATGTTGTAGAAGGAATCATAGAATCATAGAATAGATTGGGTTGGAAAAGACCTCCAAGATCATCAAGTCCAACCCCTGATCCAACTCCAATACTATAGCATGGCACTAAGGGCCACATCCAATCTCTGCTTAAAAACCTCCAGGGATGGGGAATCCACCACCTCTCTGGGTAGGCCGTTCCAATGCTTGATTACCCTCTCTGTAAAGAATTTCTTCCTAACATCTAACCTAAACCTCCCCTGGCAGAGCTTGAGCCCATGTCCCCTTGTCCTATTGTTGGTTGCCTGGGAGAAGAGACCAACCCCCACCTGGCTATAACCTCCCTTCAAGTAGTTGAAGACAGTGATGAGGTCACCTCTAAGCCTTCTCTTCTCCAGACTAAACAACCCCAGCTCCCTCAGCCTCTCCTCATAGG